TCCTCTTTTTCTTTCTCTATTTCGATATTGCTCGAATTGTTTTCCCACATCCATCAATAATTAGCTTTTTTTGAGAGATAACACTATTCGAAGCTTCACATGTAGTTACTAAGGTGAATTCAATCCCCACAATTTGCTTTATTTCGTGACAATCAAAATGATGGACCATTTTAACCACGCATTAGAATGAGTAAACTTCACACTTGATAATCACTTTGCGTTTCGAGATTTACTACAGTCTGAACTTATATTAAGGGATATATAATTAATTGCGCGCTTTCTCTTTTAAAATGTGTTTACTTTTGTACAGAGAAGAGCTTCGACAAATAGCTTTTGCTCGCACATTTTATCTTAGAGTCTTGCTTCTTTATTTCAGTATCTGGCGAGGCACAACGACTCTTCTTCAGTGGCGCCATTCTACGAGTCCAATATTAAGATGGAGCATCTCGGATTCACTGTTGACGACCTCGGTTGTTGTCGCGTACTACGTCATCCACTTTGGGGTCATCGAGCTTTCACCGGAATTATCCTTACTGATGCACCTCAAGATCACCCAATTTTGACTTCTATGTTAACCACCCCAGTAGTAGCTTCTTCCCTTACGCCAATGGCCATCTAAAGACCGTAACCGGCTTCACAATCCCAGCCCTGTTTGATTTTCTGCCAGAAATAAAATGCGACTTAGTACACTTTGACACATTTCGTTTTCATTTTCTCTCATTCTTGATCTTATATATTACACTTTCTCTTGAATAACTGTAATCCCTCGTTATTTTTTCATGATTGAACGGATTGCTTTTTCCTAAGTAATAAATTCGATTGTTCTCTGGCCGACTATTCATCTGTGCTTCTTACTCTTGATTTCACACTGATTCTTCTTTCTACACTAGGATGGAGCAAAAACGGTTTTATACTTGCACTGGTATAGATCTAGTACATCTTGATGCTTGGATGTTGGGGCCGTTAGACTTCTATATCTTACTGATTATTCTCCAGCGATTCGCAAATAAATCTCAATAATTAATGGTCTCGTCATTGAGAACCAGGGTTCGAAGTGCATGCTTCCTGGACTTCCAGGAAATTTTCTACGTAATCAGACGTGCAGCAGATCCCTTATTAGTCACTATTAGAATATGGACTGTAATGCATGCTAAGGAATCTCATGAAATAGCTTACAGTCCTCGAGAGCTTATATCATACACTTTAGTTGGAATTCTTGAATATTCATTCTCCTGGATGCCTCACAACATCCTGTATTTATCGAATCTTTCGCTCAATGTCTTGAGCAGGCCTCCTTTATGCGAGTTTTTGGGATATCAATTTCATTATTACTCCATTGCTCTTTCACAAAGTGATTTTCAGTCTATTTGGCTCGGGAAATATAATCATAACCGTCCCCTGGTCATATGACGTGAAATAGCCCCAAATCCAGTTTATGCAATATTTGCTCCTCGGAGTGCTCTGTCGAATTAACTTCTTTTATTACTCTTGATTGCTTCACAATTTGCCTGGCCTGTGGGTTTTATTTGGTTTTGTGTTGGGAAGGGCTAATTTTAACTTATATTGGCACTTACTGTGGGCGCCCAGTTTATTACGCTTATTTCCTCTACCACTTTCTCCATGACTAAGTCTTTATCTCTTGGATATTTTATAGTCACAATCAGTC